CGTTTCTTTAAGTGAGGAGGCCTACTGAGCCTTTAATTGTTCTTATTTCCCCATTAACTGCTTTATGTGTTTTGTTTGTCGCCCTAGAATTTTATCCTTTTAAAACCCCTGAAAAGCCAAGCTCCCTCCCTTTTAGGATTAGTAGTCCTAAACGCCTCCGGGACTGATAGGCGGGACGGGTAATAGCATGCAGTAGGTAGCGATACCATTCCGCGCTTAAATACCTTAACGGGGTGGGAAGGGTAGACATGGAGATGATGATCACATGATAACGTTATGCGTACGATTGATTACCGGTGTTGTGTGGATGATCCATGTGTTTTACAAACCTAGGACCCCCTTTCCTTTATGTGACTTTGTTTAATATCAATAAAATTCTGTCTTTTCAACTACCCAAAACCCCTTTTTAATTTTACTGCGTTATTCCTTTTTCCCCTAAATTTTTCTTCTTTGTTTATTCGATGTCTTGATTAATTTTCTGCATTTAGACCCTCCCTCAAACAAATTGTAGATCATCTAGACCTTGATTCCAACATACTTGTTACGTATCTATTTGTAGCCCTTAGGTGTGAAGTTATTTGTATACTTATTTGCATTAAAGTCACAACATAGCATGGCCGGGAACCACACTAGTGGATCTTGAGGGGTGCCTAACACCTTCCCCTCGAGATAATTTCTAGCCCTTACCCGAACTCTGGTTTTAAAACTCAAAACTCTCAGTGTCCTAATGCACTTAATCATTAGGTGGCGACTCTTCAATTCCAAAAATCCAATTCCCACACGGGAATAGAGTTGTCTTCTCAAATGTCGTAAACCCGATTTTGCGAGAAAAAGGGGGCGTCGACATATCTCATCATATTGTTCCATAAGGCACTTTATCATATCCTCAATCTCTTTCAGGTCTTTATATCTGGGTTCTTTGTTCCTATTAACTTCACAAGAAAAAGAAGAACCATCAAAGTAAGGGGTTGGGGGAAGATAAGAAATATAAGCACAACCATGAAAGTGACCATCTTGACCACCACACATATCGCACATATTCCACACATAAGATTGAGTTGGTGCACTTAACTCGCGCTCGGGAATATTTTGATAATTTTTCTCAGGGTGGTTTCCTCCACCAAACGCATAAGAAGGATCAAAAGTAGAATTACCAACATCAAAACTCTCATAATTCCAAGATGCCATGTTTCTCAAATTAATAAGTAAAACAAAAAAAAAACAAAAAAAAATCAAATACAAAAAAGAAAAAAAAGTTCAAACTTGAAACCTAGCAATATGTACACCTACAACTACACCGTTAGTTCCCCGGCAACGGCGCCAAAATTTGATCACGCCCAACTATGCTTTATAAAAAGAACTAAGCGGTCGTTGCAAATATAATCTGGTTTACAAGTCCGGAGTCGAATCCCACAGAGAACTAAGGCTTAGCTATAGTCGTTCAATATTGCTAAGAAACACAAGTCCAAATAATTTTCTAATTATAAATATTATAATATTTATTTTTATCTAATTAACTAACAAATCTAAAAAGCCGTAAAACTATCAATTAACAAGGATAAGGATTGGAGTCAAGATTAAGGAGGTCTAGAGTTATGATTTCCCCAATTGTCGGCTTCCTTCCCGCTACGTTTTCTATAAATTCGCCTAAGTATTCTCTACCGATCATGAGCGCTCTACGTGTTGTAATTCTCTCTCGAGTAATTACAACAGTTTACTATACATACTTTCCCGAGTTACGCTAGCTGGCTTTAATTACAGCTCACTTAGATCGCACCCAAGGTTTCGTCATCCCTAATCCCACCTTTAAACCCTTGGTTATTGATTCCTCACATACGTCGGGAGTGATGTTGTTCAACAACTACCTAAATATGCACTCTCTCCCGAGTAATACATATTAAATAGGCACAGCTAATTGAGGGTCATTCAATCAACCACAAGAATAATATAGTTGAACAAATAGAGAAAATACCACAGCTCAATTATATAAAAACATAACAAGAATTTATCCTACAAAATGTTCCATCATAACCCTAGATAACAAATTAGCTATTCGTAATAGTATGTAAAACTACATTACTAAAAATCATAACCAACAATGAAAAATAGGAAGAGGCAGGAAAAGCTTGTTGAAGAATTCCCCGCCTTGCTCCTATCTCCTTAGGTCGAATTTGTGTCAAAAATATAACCAAACTCCTCAAAATACCGTTTTTCTATGTATATATACCAAGTAGGGTTGGGCCCAAGCAATTATACCTTCTCCAATGTGAAAAAGGACAAGTTTCCAGGCCTGGACTAGCGCGGGCATGCTAGAGACCGCGCTAGTGGTCGCGCATATTAACAAGTGCACTGCCTCAGTTCGCGTCAGGTCCGTGGTCGCGGTTTAGACCGCATGTTTCACCCTGTTTCGTTTGAAATTTGGAAAAACGTAAAACATAAAAGTTGTAGCCCTTTGAGTTAGCTTTCTAACCATATATTGTAGAGAACAAATGGAGTTCTGAGAAAAAAGTTATATGCATTTTACTAGACAGTGCGCAATATGCCTACTCGATTCTTCGTTTGTTCTAACTATCATCCGTTGACCCTCGAACATGATCCCGGCTTAATTCCTTGAGCTTTTACTCAGACTTCAAATCTCCAAATCACTTGAATTCATTCCATAACATCTACATAGCTCGGAATCACTCCTACAAGGCATAAAACACACAATTAGTGCAAGACACTAGCGATTAAAGCTCAAACTCAATTAAAGTGTTGTAAATTAGAGTGTAATAATCAACTAAAATACGCAATTATAGCCTATCATCAATACCTTAACTAAAAGTGATGCGTAATGTTAATGTTTTCGACCTGCATTTAAGAAAGAAAAAAGGGTCAAAACTTTTCTTTTACTTTCGAAAATTATTTACATTTAACCTCTATTATATCATGGGAACAAATATACCCCTATCATTAGTAAAATTTTAATTTTTGCCCCCAACCTTGACGAAAACCCCCAACCCACCAAATTAATGTTTTATTTTCTATATTGATCATAATATCAAAGAACTAAGCAAGTCCATAAAATTGGAGTCTTTTATTGAATAAATCTGCATTAGCGTGCGTGAGCGGTTACGAAAATACATTAGAAAAAGTGTGACTGAAAAGCGTAGCTTTTTCAAAAATATTTAAAAAATGAAGAAAGTTAGTCGCAGCTAGGTGTTAATGCTAACTCATCAGTGTCTTAATAAACTGATCAATGCTACTAGTAACAGATCAATGTCTTAATAAACAGATCATTTATGGTGGACTACTATTTGAATACTTTTGGGCTTAGAGAGTGTTTCGGGTTAATAAAAATTTTGGGAAGCCATACAGTGTAGTTTTCTCAACGACAAAATTACCACTTCATAAATTGACCTTGCACTATTTTAGTCCAGTTACAAGTTTGCAAATGTATAGCCAAATATCAATAAGATCTTTGTTTTTCTCATTCCCTCTAATTATAACAACCTCATTTATTCCTATCTACTCCTATTGTAGCTCTCTCTTCATTTTTTCACCCATAAATATTTAATTTAATGAATGAAAATGAATCATATGCAAACAAAACTGAAAAGAAAAATTTGTTCCCTACTCAGTCAACACTCATCCGTGCCTTCTTCCATAACCAATACTTCTCTGTTTTTTTTTTTTTAATTTTGTGTATCTTCAGGTTTATACATACCTATCACAACTGTAAAACGCAAAAACAGACGCGAGAAACCTAAAATCTCATCTCCTTTAATGCTAATCTTGTTAAATTTCAATTATGATTTTGTGAGAAATTTGGAGTGGGTATTGTTTGAACTTATTAGAAATAGTCTAAGTAGGTTGTATACAAAGTTTGAAGTTATTTGCTGGAGATTTGGACTAGTTTTATACAAGAATTATAAGTGAAAATCGTACAAAAATTTCGCCAGCGATGCTTATACACTTTTATACAATGTTATACACTTTTATACAAAGAGGTACAGTATGTATATAGTTGTATAAAAGTGTATAAAGATGTATAATCACAGAGTGAAAATATTCTTGATACACTATATATATAGGTGTATAAGAAGAATGAGAAGAAGAAGAAGAAGAAGAAGAAGAAGAAGAAGAAAATGCGAGAAATTCACCAAATACCTGTAAATAATGTATCAAACTTGGATATAATAGTGTATGAGGTATGTTTATACACTATTCTATACTATTTATACAATATTATACATTATTATACAAATGAATCCTATCAATAGAGCTTCACGTGTTCTTCTTCTTCCTTGGGCATCTTCTGAAATTTAACTCAAATATAGCCTAAAGCTACTCCAAATCACTTGAAATTTAAGTTTTGAACTCATCTTGACGATTCCAATCAATTGAGACAACACCCATTCCAAACAACTAACAAATCGAAAAACTCAATTTTTGAAATTTAACTCAAATATAGCCTAAATCTACTCCAAATCACTTGAAATTTAAGTTTTGAACTCATCTTGATGATTCCAATCAATTGAGACAACACCCATTCCAAACAACTAACAAATCAGAAAACTCAATTTCTGAAATCGAATCTTCGAACCACTTGTAATGGTGACTTTTATTTTTCAAATCCTTAGTTAACCATTGAAATCCAGAAAAGAATTGAAGGAGAATAACAATTGTAGAGAAATTTTGTGGTGCAAAGGCTGATATGGGAAGGAGAAGAAGAACAAAGAAAAAGGGGAACGAAGAAATAAGGGGTGGGCTAATTGGTGAAAATTAATTTTTAGATTATGTACAACCTGGGCTATACTGGGTAAGGGCTTCAAACATGGGCCATTTTCTGATGGATTGTTGGGCCAAGTGACAAGGGATGTAATTCTCGCTTTCTCAACAACTTATCAATATCCAGCATTGAGAGACGTCATTGACTACAGACAAACTTCTTTGCGAAAAATTACAGAAATATGACACCATAATAATTAAGGGGGCGTTTGGTTTGCCTTTTTATGCATTAATTCCTACTATTTAGAAGCGACAGTTAAGGATCTCTTCGTCGTCCTGTTTTCACAAATTTACGATAAAGTCCTTTTCGTTGTCCTGCTGGGCTATTGATGTTGCATCAACATTGGGGGTACTTTGGTATTTCTACATTTTACACAGCCTACTTTAAATTTTCTGAAAATCTAAAACCTTCCGCTTACTCTTTGTCTCTATTGGCACGCGCCTCTTCATCGTCTCTTTGGTTACTGATGTGGAAGCTAAACCCGCTCTTGCTTTTAGTGATGTGTAGCTCTACAACACTTGTGCTTTGATGAGCATGTGTAGCATACTTCTGGCGGTAACCAGGGGCGGACCCACGTTGTACCAAGAGGGTTCAATTGAACCCGCTTCGTCAAAATTCTTTTGGTGTTTATATGTATAAATTTTACATAGAATCGGAGATAAAATTAAATGAATCCGCTTGAAAATCTGTAAGGCTGTAGCGTAGCGGTTTAGTGGGTTCATTTTGTTGCGAGAGAACCGAGATCAGTCCCTGCTGACTTTGTTTGCTGTACTTTAGCTTTTATGAGGCTGTGAGAGTGCAGGCATTAATGCATAAGACATCTCGTGCATAGTTCTCTATTGTGAGTGTAATGTTTTAGTTTATTAACTTCATTTCATTTATTATTTTGAGATCTAGTATTGAAATATTTATAATACAAGATTATATAGTTTGTTGTTAAATAATAACTTTCAAAGTTGCATGTACGTGAATTTTTGTGCATTTACTTCATGTTTTATACTATTGTTTAATACTTCTGCAATTTATAAAGTCGTATGCCCTTTTTCTGGACATGTGAAATTTAGGTTAGTTTGAATTTTATTTAATTATTTATTCTTTCGTAAATTGTATGTTTATTTTGTTTCAAATTTCTTCATTTTATTGTTATTAACTATAAGTGTAAGCACAAATATCTAAAATCGAAGACTTAAAAGGAAAATTTTCGGTCTTACATAACTATAGAAAATGATGTAGTTGTTTTTTTTTTTTATATATATTTTAAATACCACCTCAAAACGAAATTAGCAACCAAATTTTTTTTTCCTCTAAAATGGATTACCTTTGGAGCTGACCCCGCTTGAGTAAAATTCTAGGTCCGCCACTGGCGGTAACCGTTAGCCCTAAATCCAGTTCACTTTTGCTGTCCTTGTTTCTGCTAATTTGATCTTTTCCTTCGATCGCACACTCATCCAAGTCCCGGTGGCAATGGATCATTATATCTTCAAAATTGGGTTTCTCTTCCACTTTCAGATTTCATCTTTGGAATTTTTGGGTTGCCAACAAGTTTCTTGACTCTCTTTGGATCTAGACACAGAGAGAAGAAGCCTTCTGTATTGCTTTCTTTTCAAGTCGTGTAAATTGAAACTGAAAATTTGGGTTTGAGAACATTTTCAGAAGCTGTTTAATTACCATGAAGTCCATGTGAAAAGGTGGGATTGGTACCGTCATGACAGATTGAAGATGGTTGCAAAAGAACTGTGACTCTTTCTTTTCAAATACAAGGCAGTGCCCTTAGTTTCTGGTTTCTACACTGAGCTGGGGTTAGTGTAGCTGAAGAAAATTGGAATTATCTTTTGCGTCTTCGGCACAATTTTCTCTTTTTTCAAATTTCACGAGGATGAATTTTTAGTTATGTGATTTTGTTATTGCTAGAATCTAAGTTAGATGGTGCACTGTGGGTTAAACCAGTTGAATAAATAAATAACTCTCTGAATTTAATGGGTTGTTATATGTTGATGTCTCAATAATGCTATGTCGTTATTCATATTGTGATATCGTATTCTGTTCCTGGCGAATCTTAAGTTCCTTTGGATATATCGGTTGTGTAATTAAATATTACATGGTAGTTGTTTTATAATGGTGATCTTCATAATCATACACGTTTATAACGTGAAATAGCTGTGTCATTTCTGGTCGTTATATTTATCCGTTCTTTCATGAGTATCCCTTACTATCTGTTTAAAAAACTATATGTATAATGATGCACAATGATGTGTAGGACAACTGGAGTACCAATAGTTGAGGAAAAATTACATAAATGGATATTCGACACTAAAGACAATGGCGCTCACTCGATGACAGAAGCTCATGATAAGAATGTCAAACACCGAACAGCAGATAACTGCATTACAATAACTATGAAAGAAGAAATGTTGTTGGATATTTGCTTTTCGTAAACTCTCTTTTCTATGGTAAACGATTGATGTTGTTGCACTGTGAGTACTTATGATATTTTCAAATTCAGCTTTAAGCTAACCCCCTCTATTTCACAGCATTGTCGCAACAGTTATGCCTAGCTGCCAGTTTGCTGATGCAGTTAGAACCATACTACCTTCTGAACTGGTATATTCTGTTCTGTTTTACTTGTAGCCTATAAAGAATAATGCTAAGATATGCTTCACAGTATGTGTTGTATTTATATCAATATAATCAGGAAGAACAATCATCTTTTATGTCTTATTTCTTGTGAAAGCATTATCTGAAGCTTATTATTATGTGCTAGAATTAGTTTGATTTGGCTTGTCCATGTCGGTGCACATATGTTCTTCACCCACTCAACAATATTATATCTCACCGTCTTTATCATTTTCAGAAACCACTTATGCATTTAATTAAGAGTACAAAACTTTTAGTCATTTGGTCTATAATCAGTTCAGTTTCTTTTATTGATCAAGCAAAATAAGTTGGAGCATTCACCAATTACCATTATAGCCTTTTTTCTCTTTTACGCTACAGATAAATTGGTGTAATCATTTCAAAATATGGCATGGCATGAGACGACTTCTACTCTCCCTTGTAAAATTTGGAATCTGATTCACCTGTTGTTCAAACTGTTGGTTACTGCATATTCATAGTAATTTTCTGCAGCGTATGGTCTTGCACATAGTGTTCGCACGTAATATCCTCGACTTACATACTCCGGCATGCTAAGAATCTTTTTGCAGAGTCTCTAAATATTAAGGTTGGAAACTACGTTTGTTGACTAATCATATACTTTATGTTCATAATTTTGTGCATATTATGAACCTTGAAGACATAATCACGAAAAAAATGAAGATTAGATCCAACTATAAGCTATATTAGAAATGTTGGTATTGTTGTTTGCTAATCTTTACTAAATCTCAACTTGGGTTTATGAGCTCCTATTTATGTTGTTTTTAAAGTATAGTGTACAACTGGTTAGTCAATTACTTCTTAGGCATAATATTTAACTACACATTGAAGTAACAACATCATGCCTACACCAAATGTGCTCATGATCTATAAGTGTTTTCACCAGAATTTGATTGCTAAAATTATGTCGATGGCTAATTTATTTCATTGTTGTTATAGTCTATTTTACACGACAGTTTATCATATTTGTTGACAGCAATTTTCACTGCTGCTATCTTGTACAGATCCATATCACCTGGTGCTCTTGGAAAACCATATGACTTTGGGATTATAGCTTCTGAGGTAATTCTGCTTCTGACATTAGTGCTTTACTTGATGTCATGTTGAAGCAAAATATTGTAGTTGCTATCCAATTAATCATCGCTTATCATCTTTTTAATTTTCTGAACACAAAGAAGCTATGATACAAAGAAACTACGCTTCACCTGCATATACCACTGAGGAGCCTTAGCGCAATGGTAGGAGTTTATATCATGTGATCGGGAAGTCACGAGTTCAAATCATGGGAACAATCTCTTGAAAAAATACAAGGTAAAGCTGCATAGTGAGAAAGAACTACTAAGGCTTGACAGTTATGTAATGCAATATTGCAATATATGGAAAATAAACCAAAAAGGGGGTTTTATGTAGGAATATGGAACCTCATTTCTCTGCAGTGCCTAATATTAGAGGTACTTCCTAATTCAATAGTGACTAAAGTCCTCATTTCTTAGCATCAGCGTTGTGCAAATCTGCAAATCCTTTGTGCATTTTCTGAAATTGAACTTCATTTTGGTCTGTTAATCAAAATTTAGTTTTCTTAAGGGATAATATAAGTAGTAAGGCTGGGTTGATGTTGATTTATATTGTACCGAAACCCGTCAAATGTTAAAGAGTAGCTGTTTTGACTTTAACTTCTGATAACATGGTGCTGCAGTTGTTTCTAAACTAAGCTATTGTAACTTGTTTAACTTATTTAAAGTTTTGCTGTATGAACTAGGTATATATCATTGATGAGTCAAGGTTGATAAAATCCAAATTAGCAAATTGAAGAGCTCGAGTTTGTTTGGTAGAATATGCTGGGATGTTAGGGTCATTGGTGTAAATCTCATTATCTTGAACAATGAACATATGTAAAGTTTTAAGTTGTTAGTTCTCTGAAGTTCGTAAAATCTGTTTCATTTTGCTTTAATTTAAAGTTTGCATGAATATCTTGCTATATACATGAATGTCTCTTGTCTGCTTGCCTGTGGTGTATTTCAGAAACAGTTTAAGTTAAGAAGATTTTGCCTTTCTTACATCTATAATGTTAAACTGCTTTAATTGTTCCAATACTTCTGTTTTCTTATACATAATTTTGCCTTTTTTCATCAATCTCCTTTGCGAATTAAAAATGTCAATGGTTGAAAGATAAAACAAGATGTACTCAATCTGATTGAAGAATCAGAGTTGGATCTTTTTTGTGTAAACTGATGAAGAGTTGAAGAAAATTCGGGAGGCTCGTGGATATTCTTACATGGTATGTCAAAGTTATTAAAATGAACTCTCTTATCTGTGATAGATGGACTTGGATCCTGAAAATTCCAAGTATTTTGACATTCACAGTGAATTTCCTTTAGGGCTTTTGTGAGGTTTGCCCAGAAAAGATAACTATTATGAGGAGAAGATTAAAAAGTCTTACGAAGAATAGTTGCACACAGGGGCAGATGCATGTGAGATGAAACGGTGTTACGCGACACCACTTCGTTGGAATATTTTACGAAATATATGCAGTAATACTGTACGGGTATAATAAGATAAAGAAAATGACACCACTTGATATATATTGTTAAAAATTATGGTGCTGTAGAATTGAACCTATTCTAACTTAATACTCAATAAAATCAATGGACTAAGGCTATTCCTTGTTGATAAATATGATAATTAATATTATTTATTCTCCGTTCTTCTATAAATATCGACACCACTTGCGAAAAATCCTATGTATGCCCCTGTTTGCACACTGATGAAGAGATCTGTTACTGTGTTGCTGGAAGTGGTAAGTGTAGGATCTATTGTTTAGACTTTGCATCACTGTCTGCCAACTATAATATGGTTGCTGAAATATATACTTTGTGTTGTAGTTTTTTTTTTTTTTATGTCAGAGCTCGCAATGAGGCTTGGATTCTTAGAAGAGGATATGAAAGTCCAAAGCTCCCTACAAGGTTAATTGTTTCATTTGGATAGTTACAGACGATGCGTGTCACAACAAATGCTTTTGAAGTCAACCTCACAATATTTTTCTTTGCAATGCTACTTTTGTATAGATTAAATATGCGATAGCAACAAGGAATGCTAAACCGAAAATATGGATTCAATTAGCTATGTGTTTTTACCTTGGTTGGTATTTTTGATATAGTCATGGCTACATCGTGTATAAGTGAGTCACAGTAAGTACGGTAAATCAAAGTAGCATCTGTGTGGAATTTGACGCACAACTTATTTATTAAATTATCTTCTACAGTCATGTTCAGTTTATTGCCATATCTTAAGAGAAAGGGATCTATCTATTTCTCATCCCATTCTTTAAATTAGCAACATTGCTTTGGATAGCCCTGTCGGTCATATATTCAATTTACTTTGAAGACTGAAATAGTTTTATATAATCTTTGTTGTCAGTGTAAAAGTCTTATATATTAACTATATGGATTCTCATGATAGGTTCTGCGTGATTTAAATATTGAAGATTCCTTCCGAGCATTTTGGATATGGAATCTATATCGCCGGAAAAGTTCTCTCCGACTTCTTCTTATAGATTCATACATTGGAGTTTACCTTCAACATTGGATTCTACATATTTAATCGGCGAAATGAAGCATTGGCTAATAGTTTAATGGAGGTAAAGCCTACAAGGCAATCAGATTTAGAAATTGATTGACTGTAAGAGAAGAAGAGAGACTTTCTCTTAGAGACTTCTGGTTTACTAAATTACATGTCGTGCTCCCTACCTCATGGGTCATATATCTAAGTACACGGAACAAATAGTCAATAAGTTTAATAGAGTTGTTTGAGCAAAAAGGACATTGTTTCAAGTGAGGCATACGTCATCGGTAGAATATTGAGAAAATATCTTGAATATTGAGAAAATTACTTAGTTGCAACAAATCAAACTCATATATATGAAGTCTAATACGACTCTACGTTTTTTTTATTAAAAAATAAATGTTGTTGACATACTAACGGAAAACTAAAATTGAGATTAAATGCTTTAATCATAAATCATAACATAAAGTCGAATAATTACTTAGTTTGCTTTATGCTAATTTCTTCATTTTATGTTCGGCACAGGCCCTCAGACACTGATTCATGTATAACCATGTATAAAATTCAACATATTTACTACGGATCTCCTATATAGCATCTCTCCAATTCCATCAGTGCAGGTCTAATTTAATGACATGCCATTTTTCAAATCCAAAGGCCAAGATTTATTAAAACTAAACAATCCCCTAAACTATGGGTAAAACTAAACATTCCTAAATTTTAACCTTTCCTTAAATATAGCAGTGTAGTTAGGCTAGAAACTTTTCACGATCTAAGTCCTTTCAACAATCAAGTCTCCAAATTGTTAAACTTTTTTCTCCCAAAATCCAAAATTTCTTCAAATGAGATAGTATTATTTTGGTAGGCATCATAACTTTTTTATTTTCACCGGGACAATTTTAATTTTGTTCTTCCACCTTTTTGTTTCCTAGAAATCAAATAAATATAATATATTATGTTTCTTGTATGCAATTGCATTGTTAAATTTTTTAGGTTCAAGTTAATGTGAAGAATAAATAACGAAAAAGACAAACAATTGTTTAAGAAGAGGAAACTCCAAATTAGAATTGAGAGTAAAATGCTTGAATAAAAAAAATGCTTCAGTGAGGTTAACATCGAATCATATTACATATATGTGAAAAAGATAGTTTCTCTATAATTACTTAAAGGAACTAAATTAGAATGAGTAGTGTTAATTATTAGAAAAAAGTAGATATGTGAAGCATCATAAGCTGTGTTCACTCGCTCTTGAGAGTTGAGTCAAACAATTCCATGGAATGATCCTTGAGATAATTGTGAAGGGCACCATGGAGGAAAGCTTTATTCTGTCAATTCCTATCATTTAACGAATAAAATAATTTTTTATATAATAATAAACAAGAAAAAGAAATTATATTTCGCAAGATACTATAGTCATTGATGCATCTGAACATGGAAAATGAATCTCCTAAACATAGTCTACTTGCTGGTCAGTTTGACGTTGAGGAAATGAAGTCTGATATTTCCTCTTGGTCTTTTCCATAAAACTCTTTGGTCTAGTATTAAAACAACGAGTTAATTACTACAAGAAACTTCAGTTAATGATCGTTTGACAGTTACTACGTGCTCTTTAACACTTCCATGAGTTCTAACATTATATGTACACAATTCTACTTCTTTCACTAGAGTTATTTATATAAACAAGTAAGGATATTTCTCGATCGTTTTGAAACATATCAAATACAGTTGGGGTATATACATCTCTAACATGAACCAATAAAGGACATTTAACCTTTAAAATATATATTCTTTGCGTCAAATCAAAATTTGATTTATTCTCATTGGCACGCTTATCATCAATTTATCTTTGAAAATGCTTAAAGAATTGTACAATATCTAGATCAGAATTCAAATATCCCCTTAAAGATCCATTGAAACTCTCACTCAATTTTGTGATGTGCATACCTGCTGAGAATGTATTTCTTACATATGTCATGGACCATTTCTCCCTTATAGCAAATGTGTTTTTCAACCAACTATTATATCTAAGGTCATATTTCTCCATCATTTCTTGCCACAGACTTAATTTTTTTTCTACATACTCATAATCGTAAAGCAATTAGCTAAAATCTCTGGAAATGATGCATAAGCTCTAAAGACATGGTTTAAATGCTTAAATGGATTCTTTTCCAAGTGCCATACACAGACGATGTCATGTTTTTGGAATTACTAATAAGACAACAAAAGATATTGCGGGATCTTGATTTGTGATAAATATATGTGATTTCTCCGCAGACATAATCCTAAAGAATGCATTAAAAGTCATTCAAAAGATTCAGTTGATTCTTCATATACAAGGGTTGTGTTAGACCTCCGCCACTTTGAGCTCGACTTGACAACAAGAGTGTTGTCATGAGGCAGCAAGAGTGTTGCAAGGAAGGTGCACAAGTAGCACCAAGTCAAAAAGGGAAACGGGCAAGTGATGGCCAAGGCTTTGACGGAGGCGAGGCAGCTTGGCAATGGCTTGACAATGAGTTGCGGGCCGAGGGTGACACTTGATCATGGAAAAGGCATCAAGGCATGAGGCAGTGATGGCAAGGCAAGGCAAAAACAAAGTGGCAAAGACAAGCTTAAGTGCAACGGAAGGCAGTGGACAGAGTTGTCATGGCATTGGGGCACGACAAAAGGCTATGTTCGTGGCAATGGCATAGGCAAAAAGTGGCACAATGCAGCTGGATACAATGTAATTGGGGCCTGATTCAAGCCAAGGCACGAAAATGGGCACCAAGCTTCAGATTGACCAAGTCAAAGAGCGGTTACGACATATGCTGTGCACATGGGCAGCAGTTGAAATTTGCTAAAATGCTGGCAGGAGTGTTAGCACGCTTTAAGGCCATGTTTTTCATTATTATTAGCTATGATTTACATGATCCTAGTAGTTGGGGGTTGTCAACTATATTAGGCTAAAATAGTGGGCAATGTGGGACAAGTGTCTGAGCATAAGGCAACTATTGTAAGAAAATTGGGCTGGTTCATGTGTTATAAATGGACAACACCCTTTATATTTAAGACATGAATGAAAAACGTGTAAGAGTACACAATTGAGTTAGGAAAGAGTCCTAAGTCTGGTTTTCAAGAGTGAAAACGCATAAGGCTAAGAGTAGTCTTGTGAGGGTCAAAAGTGATCTTCTTGTACACGTCATTGTACTTCGAGTTTGAGTTTCTTTATATGCTCGAGTTAAATACGAAGTTGGGAAAAGAGTTTCCTGTATATTGTGCCTTGTGTTCATCTATATTTTATGTCCCTCTAATTATTTTTCGTTGCCTAAAATCAGTCCTAACTTACTACGATAAAAAGCTGCCTAAAATATTCTAAGTCCAAATTTACTGAAATTTTGGCTAAGTGTTGGAGCAGGCTGAAGTCAAGTGTGAGACTTGACTGCCGCGCGGGCTGTGTTTGTGTGACATACAATACGCCTGTGACAACTGGTATCAGAGCGGAGTAGGTTCGTGACGGAGACACGACGGGCAGTGGCAGATTTGGGGTCTTGTTTGAGAACATGGCTGGTGATAACAACGAACTGCGGGAAAGGCTAACGAAACTGGAAGCATTGGTGGAAAATGTTCCTGAAGGTGAAGAAATTCAGACTCTCGTGACAAGGCTTGCCTACCTTGAGGCAGAATTGTCAAGGTTAAGTCGAGAGAAGGCGGATCTGAATTCGGGATAGTGGTACTGCGACATGCTGTGGGTGAGGATGCTCCTCAACGTGGTGCTGAACGTCTTAAGGTGAAAATTTCTGAACCTAAGGCATTTGGTGGTGCAAGGAGTGCACGTGAATTAGAGAATTTTCTTTGGGATATGGAGCAGTACTTTCATGTTATTCGTGTGAAAGATGAGAAGGAGAAAGTAACCTTGACTAGCATGTATTTGAGTGTAGATGCTAAGTTATGGTGGCACTCTCGTGTGGCTGAAGATGAAAGTTTAGGCAGACCAAAGATTGAGTCGTGGGAGCGGCTTAAAAAGGAATTGAAGGATCAATTCCTTCCTAGCAATATGTATTGGATTGCTAGGGACAAACTGAAAAAGTTGAGGCAAACCAGATCAGTTTGAGCATATGTGAAAGAGTTCACTTCTTTGATGTTGAGCATCAGCAATATGTCGGAAGAAGACAAATTGCACAACTTCATGAGCAGGCTGCAATAGTGGGCATAACTTGAGTTGCGAAGGCAAAATATTCAAAACCTCGCAAGTGCTCTGGCTGCGGTTGATGCATTGGGCGATTTTCACTTAAGTGATGAGATTTCTGCTCCAAAGTCCAACGACGGAAAGAAGGACAAGGCAAAGGAGTGTAAGAAGTGTGAAAATAACAATGCAAATGAAGACAAGGGGAAGGGAAAACATGAGTCTAGAACTTAAAAATGCAAGAAGAAGGGCTGCAAATTCAGTGGTTATTTCCTTTGTTATGGGCCACATCGAGCAAGGGACTGCCCGAAGAAGGCAGTGTTAAATGCTATGACTACCGTGGACAAGAGATCTGCATTAGAGGCAATGACCAGCGACAAACAAGTGGCTGGAGTGAATGCAATTGTAGCTGAAGAGAAAGGAGGCCAATGGGCGTTGCTTGT